GGGACATGGGGTTACACCCACCCATGCATTCGTGTAGGGCAAGGGGTCCCCAGGACCCTGCAAGGAACCGCTGATGTTATCACTGCAAAAGGTGGCAAATCATAAACCACCTCTGGTGGCGAACCCAGACGCAGACGACCTCAGCAAGGCCAGGGGGCTGGGGCACAGTCACGGTGGTACCTGGGCTCACCATCAGCTGAGGGTAAACGCTGTGCCCCTGCCTCAGCAGCCCCTTGCGCGAGACACACGTGTAAGCCTGGCAGTTGAACTACAGTTTGTTTTTGGTTTTTGAGCCAGTCTCACTGTCGCCCAAGCTGGAATGCAGGGGCACGCTCTCGGCCACCGCAGCCTCAACCTGCCGGGCTCAGGCGATCCTTCCGCCGCAGCCTTCCAAGTGGCTGGAATTACAGGCACGCTACACGACGCCTGGCTAATTTTTTGATTTATTGTAGAGATGAGGTCTCGCCAAGTTGTCCAGGCTGTTCTCGAACCCTGGGCTCAGGCAATCCTCTCACCTCCACCTCCCAAAGTGCTGGGATTACAGGCGTGAACCACTGCGCCCGGCAAACTGTAATTTTTTGTGTTTTGAGTCAGAGTCTCGCTCAGTCGCCCAGGCTGGAGTGCAGTGGCAGGATCACGGCTCACCACAGTCTTAACCTCCCGGACTTAGGGGATCCTTCCACCTCAGTCTCCCAAGTAGCTGGGACTACAGGTGTGTGCCACCAGGCCAAGTTAATTTTTTGATTTTCTGTAGAGACGAGGTCCCACTATGTTGCCCAGGCTGGTCTCGAACTCCTGGGCTCTAGTGATCTTCCTGCCTCGGTCTCCCCAAGTGCTGGAACTACAGGCAGGAGCCACTGTACCTGGCCTGAACTACAAGGGTGGGACTAAAAAAAACCCAGAATTATCTTTGGGAGGGCAGACCCCTTGTAGTCCAGACTTCCCCTGCTAGGCAAGTGTTCTAGGAACCCATAGGCATCAGTGTACCTGTCAGCGTTGCTGTAAGAGGCTGCGTTTGGCTTCAACGAAATTTTCTCTGGAGATTTTCAGTGCATTTGCCCATTTCTTGATGGGCGATTGACGAGTGCACCTGGCCACACCACACAGAATGTTCAGTAGTTTTTTTTGACTCCCACGCTTCACCCTCCCTATTCACTCAATCTCACCCTGAGTGACTTTTGTTTCCCCAGATGAAAAAAGTCCTCAAAGGGAAATGTCTGCCTATGTGGAAGAGATGAAGCAAAAAAAAAAAAAAAAAAACAAACGACAGAAGCACTAAAAGGCATCAAAATTGATGCATTCAAATATGGTTTTGAGCCAGGCATGGCAACTCACGCCTGTAATCCTAGCACTTTGGGAGGCGGAGGCAAGATAACTGCCTGAGCCCGGGTGTTTGAGACCAGCATGAGAAACATGCCAAGACCTCGTCTCTACAATAAATAAAAAAATTAACTGGGTGTGGTGGCACACACCTGTAGCTCCGGCTACTTGGAAGACTGAGGCGGAAAGATCGCCGGAGCCCAGCAGGTCGAGGCTGCAGTGGCTGTGAGTGTGCCACTGCTCCAGCCTGGGCAACGGAGTGAGACTCCACCTCAAAAAAAAAAAAAAAGGTTGTGAGCAGTAGAGAGAGCATCTCGATAGGTGTATTACATCAGAGAGTACTTTGAGGATGCCTTAAGTTTAAACGTGTAAGAATAAGTGCACAATATATATATATTTTTTTTTAGTTGGAGTCTCACTCAGTCACCCAGACTGGAATGCAGTGGCTGCTCCTGGCCACCGCAG